GTGGTGCCCAGCGACAGGACAAGGGGCAATGGGCACAAACTGAAGCAGAGGAAGCTCCAGCTGAAGATGAGGAAGAGCTTCTTCCCTCTGAGGGTGACGGAGCCCTGGCCCAGGCTGCCCAGGGAGGCTGTGAAGTCTCCTTCTCTGGAGATATTCAAGACCCGCCTGGACAAGGTCTTCTACAACCTACTGTAGGTGACCCTGCTTGGGCAGGGGGTTGGGCTGGATGACCCACAGAGGTCCCTTCCAACCCCACCATTCTGTGATTCTGTGATTCTGTTTCTGCTGGTGGAGGTGGGGAGGAGACCAAGGGGAGCTTGGCTCCCTGTGACCCACAGCTGGAGCTATGGGACCTGCACGGATAGAGACTTCCCAGTGCAATGCAGTCGATCTATACGGCCCAATCCGCAAAACCCAAAGGTGCCGTTGCCCAGGGAATCCACCAGCAGTTATCAATTAAATAAACTCCACGTATTAAGACAACCCATTGCTGCTGCCCTTCCTCGAGCCATGCTGTCCCCAGCATCCTCCTTCTCTGGGGGAAGGTTTGCAAACATCTAAACCTGGTTTCCCCCGTTGCTGAGTCAGCCGTGGCCGGGGACGTGCGAAACAGATGTCTGCAGCCTCTGGTGTCTGCGACTGCCATGTCCTGCCCCTCCACTGTATTTTTTTCTGCCTGAACCAATCCAGTTTCTTCCCAGATCTTTTTTTTCCAAATCTGGGGTTGTTCTTCCTTCTCTCCGCTGCGTTTTTTCCACAAAGTCTGTATTTTATTGAAGGTGTGTTGCCCAAAAGTGGACTCGGGAGCAGAGCAGTGACTTGCTTGCCACAGAGGCAGCGTTCCTGGGGCTGTGTGCCTCATCGTCCTCGAATAACACCCCACCCCGGGCTGCGTATGACCCATTCTTTCCCCAAAGCTTTCCTGCAAAAAAAAAAAAAAGTACTGCCCGTTCCTTGCCCTCGGTTTGTGCCTTTTCTCGCTCCTACAGAAGCACACAACTTTGTGTGCATTTTTATTGGGTCGCATCTCATTTCGCCAAGAGCACTTGCTCAGTTTGCCAAGTCCCTTCTCTGAATTGCAGCCACGTCTCCCCGTGCGCCTGCATGCTCCCGTGCCTTGGCGTCACCGCTGCCTCCCGTCAGCTTCTCCTTCTTTAACACCCTCCGGGGCGTCGAACCAGACCCACCACTGACCCCATCCGAGGTGGCTTAGCAGTTCGTCTCCCTGAATCTCACCTAATTCTCTCCTTCCCATCTATCTTCATGATGAAGGAAAGATCCTTTGGCCATTTCCCGACCCTTGGTGTCTCCAGGGAGAGAAGTGGACGCTTTATTCCCTGCGGAGCCCGTCCGTCTGTCCATCCGTCCCTTCCCAGGGCACCGCGAGAAGGGTTTGGGTAGAGCTGGGGGTTTCTGCTGCGAGTGCCTCCATGACTTGGCGTGGCGTGCCGTGAGGGCGCTTCTGAAGATGTCCTCTGCATACATTGGCCTGTATACAGATATGGCAGGGTGAATTGTTTTCCTTCTAAATTTCCTCTAAATTTCCATCCCAGCACCCAGATAGATGTGTGCCGGCCGAACTCCGGCGTTTAACGCGTACGGGGGACCACGTAGTAATCGGTGACGAAAGAGCAGCTCCGCGGGCGGGCGGCTCGCTGCTCCGCGGGGGTCGTTAGGAAGTTTGACTTTCCAAGGACCGTGAAATCGCCTTAGGTGACCTTGCGCCTCCTGGTTGCCACTTCCCCATGGGATGCCCCACCTCTGTCCCTCTGTGCTGGGGTGGCTTCTTCTCCCCAGCCCACTCCCGGATTGGCATCCCCGCTGGCAAGGGGGGTCCGGGACCATCGTAGCTCCCGAAATTAGGAGGTGGTCCAGGGAGACTGATGCAAAGGGGGAGAAGAGCTGCTCTTGCTCTCCGACCCCCTGCAAAGGTCAGAGATGGGCGTTTGAGGACACTTGATGTCTGTGGGAAGTTACAGCTCTCTTCTGAAAGCATCCCCGTGGGCTTTGCCATCGGCACGGACGCACGCCAAAGGCAGATGTCCCTGGGGGACACGGGATCAGGCAGACTTTTAACGTGTTGTCGCTAAACCGAGGTGGTTTTGTGTTAAAATGACGTTGAGATTCGAGCTTGGCAGTCCCTGCGCTCCCCACCTGCGCTGGGGACAGAGGGCTTGCTGCTAAGAGCTTGCAATGGGCTTTCTGCTAAGAGCTTTTGATTTTTTTAAGCAGATCGATTGACGAGGCCTCTGGTAGCGGGTTGTAGGACTGTTGCATGTTGGGGCTTCGGGAAGACAGCAAAGTTCAGCCCATCTCTGCTTGGTAACTGCTTTGCCCCCGTGCTTGGTGTGGGGTTGATCTCCTTCTGTGCAGCGTTTGAGGAATTTCATTGCAACGTGAATCCTGACCTGTGTCAGAGGATGGAGAGCATGAGCAAAACGCAGTGTTCGGGGGCTGTTTGCATCCTCTGCTTGGACGTGAGTGGGGCTTGGGGTCAACCCAGGCAGCGGGCAGCAGGAGGCATCTGGCAGATGTAAGAAGTGCCGCAGGGGACCAAACCAATGGTCCATCTTGCCCTCTCCCATCCAGCGATGAGCTGTGTGGGTTTGGGAAGAGGTCTGAGATGATCCTTGACTTGCATCTGGCACTCAACAGTGTGGGGCTTTCTGGACAGAGACCACTAACATGGTGGGACGTCCCAGCAGTGGGACTGTCCTCCTGGCTTCGCCTCATCCCTTTCCAAAGCAAAACTGGCCTCACACTTTGCAGTCTGATCAGCCTAGAAACCCTCTGAGGTTGGCTACATTAGTGAAGATTGTTGGACGTGGCCGTGAAGGTCGTCCTCATGCTGGCCTCAGGGATGGTGAGCAGAGCACCAGCACCCACAGCAGCCCCAGCCTGGCAGCAGAAGCTCGTGGTGGGTAGAAATTCCTCCCAAAAACGGTGCAAGCCCATATTCCTCCTTCCCTCTTGGTGAGCTCAATGGGCAGAGGAATCCCACCGGGGCAGCCTCGCCGCCAGCCATCGCTCCTTCACCTCGGGCTCTCCTGTGCCGTCAGCTCCTGCCTGCCGTGGGACGTGGGGTCCCCCACCCACTCGGCATGAACCCCTTACATCCACTCTGGAGCAGTCAAAGAGAGGGGAGATGTTGCTGTTAATTTGTATTTAGCCCCAAAAACGACATTTCCTGAGCCTCGACCTGCTCTCTCCATTCAGGGTGTGGGGTTTGGTGCTGTTTGGGGCTGAAACGCTGTTTTTTTGCTGTTACTGCACCCGGCGTGGTTTGAGATGGGGGTCCCGGGTGCCTCACTGGTGGGGAAGGGGACAAGGACTAATGGACAAGGGTATTCCTGGGAGCGGAGCGTGTGAGCTGGGTAAGCTAAGGCAGAGCTGTTGTTGGGTTGTAGGTGCTAAAGAAAGCAGGTCCCGATTTGGCACAGCATTTGAAGCCTTTGGGACGCAAAGCAGAAGCGTCGTCACGGGCACAGCGGTGTGCTGTGGCAGAGATATCTGCAGGGGCCCCCCCTCCCTTGTGGGGTGTCACCATGGGCCCCCCAAACCTGCAAAACCCTGACTAGGGGCTGAGCAGGCTGGAGCAGGGGAGGCTCGTATCCCACTGTCTTCTCTGTGGAGGACACTCCATCATGGGGTCTGGTGGGGTTTTGCGTGTTGCAGAGGAAGGATCCTGCTCCCAGGTCCTTCCCTGTGAAACCACGTTGATGTCCGGAGGATAAAAGTATTTTTGGTTACCTATCGAGCTGGGCACAGAGGTCCTGCCCTGCAAATGGGGAGTGGGAAGGAAGAAGTCATTTCAGTCGGTGCATTTTGAGGTCTCAAGGCACCCATCTGAAATGGGTTGGGGGACCATCTTCAATGGCACGTCATTATTCCATGATCAAAAAAAAAATCTTTTTATTTCTCTTTAAGTGGCAATTTAAATTTTCAGCACATACTGTCTTCCTTCATGCCAGAAATCAGTGTCTGCCATCTGCAAAACAGCCATTTGCTTGTCCTAAGCTCGACCACAGTGTTAGCTTCAGTGGTTCCCACGTTCCCGAGAAAGGGGCAGCGAGGAGCTTGCGAGTGCAGTGGCACGATGCCGGCTCCCTGTGGGCTAATTCCCAGCGGCTCAGCTGCAGAAACCCAACCATGAGGACGTGTCCTCATCCAGGGGCTGGTTCCTCCTACCATCCATATCCATAGCACGATGTCCTCATCCAGGGGCTGGTTCCTCCTACCATCCGTACCCATAGCATGATGTCCTCATCCAGGGACTGATTCCTCCTACCATCCATATCCATAGCATGATGTCCTCATCCAGGGACTGATTCCTCCTGCCATCCATACCCATAGCATGATGTCCTCATCCAGGGGCTGGTTCCTCCTACCATCCATACCCATACCACTGTGTCCTCCAAAAGGTCTGTGGAGCTCAGTAAGGTATCTGAAGCACCGATGGGGTGGTAGAAGGCACCTAATTGTCTCCTTATGTTGTTGTTGATGCTGTCGCGCGTGGTTAAGCCGTGTCATGAGCTCAACGGGAGCTCTCATCTCCTTACCTTTGTGTTGCAGATGTCCCAGCCTGGCTGAAGAGCCTCCGGCTGCACAAGTACGCCGCCCTCTTCTCGCAGATGACGTACGAGGAGATGATGGCCCTCACCGAATGCCAGCTCGAGGCACAAGTATGTCCCATGTCAGTCGTAAAGGGATCAGACGCAGTCCCGACTCTTGCGCAGTGGGTAGATGAGACGCCTCCAACGCCTCTTTCCATCTTCATCTGGAAGGGGTTTTGGTTGCAAATGGTTGGAAAGCAAGCAGAGAAAGGAAAACCAGGTCTTGGGAAGTGAAAAAACCCACATTGTACCTGAAGAAGGCCTTGTCCCAGATTGCTTACCAGAGTCCCAGCATGAAGGTCCCATCACTGGGAGCTGCGATTGGGGTTTTCTCCAGTTGGGATTAAGTTCAGGAGGACCAGGGGTGCAGTCTGCGGTGCCCAACTCCTTTGAAGCCAGTGGGGCTTTGGTGACCGATTGCCTTGTTAAGCTTTGAAGACGTCCCTGCTTTCGCTTTTACCCCTGCGTTATCCTCGGGACGGAGAGGGCCAGTCAGCACCTTTGCATTCGCTGTGGGAGATGGGCTGGGGAGGGACAGACTAGCTGGAAATCTCTATCTTCAGCAAGTCTCTAAGTGGTTTTCTATGTCCCCTGCTAATCCCTGCACTCAGATATTTGAATAATTTATGGCAGCCCTTTTCGTTTAGGGGAGGAAGGATCTGGGCTGACCCGCCTGTCCCGTGGAAATGTTAACGCCAGGTTTCTGTGCTGTTTTTTACAGAACGTTACCAAAGGCGCAAGACACAAGATAGTCATCAGTATCCAAAAGCTAAAAGAAAGACAAAACCTGCTCAAATCTTTAGAAAGGGTGAGTAATTGCAACCACTTTTCTGTTTCTTCTTTCTCAAGAAGCCAGGAATTAATTCTGGGGCGAAGCACTCTTTGGTTACACGTGTCGCTGGAATCTTTTGCAGAGAAATCTGTTGTTGGCCGCGTCTGAATGGCGTCTCAAACACTTCTGTCCCGCATGCAGGTTTTATTTGGGGCTGTATTTTGCAGAGCGGGTCCTAATCCGTCTCCGGCACTCACACAGCTGGCCTGGACATACCCTGCAGCAGGGGTACGAGCTCCAGGGTGCTCGGAAACACCTGAGCTCTGGGTGATGGAGGGCACCTTCACCGCGACAGTGATGGGAAGGTGGTGGTCCTACTGCTGAACTGTGGTGGAGGACCAGCTGTAGCCGCACCAGCCACCGCGGTCCTCTCTGCTGCTGGAGAACCAGCTGGGCAGAGCCTTTAACCCCTGGGTATCCCTTGGCCACTCGGTCAACTCTCCCGTCTCGATGGCACTGTCCCTCTCAGGAGACCCCTCCAATGCACAGCGGTCAGACCAGGGACCCCCGAGCCCTGCCCCTACCTCTCCGTCCCCAGAAAGAGATGGGATTTCCCAGAGGGTGTCAGGTCAAGGGCCACTGCGCTTTTCTGGAGCATCATATGGGAAGCCTGCTCTGGGTGACGCTGCTTTGGCAGAAGGGTTGGACTAGATGATCCACAGAGGTCCCTTCCAACTCCTAACGTTCTGTGATTCTGTGGGCAAAAACCAGACACCCACTGCTAATCCCTGCACTCACCCACACCCATGCCTGAAAGGAGGTTGTAGTGAGGTGGGGGTTGGTCTCTTCTCCCAGGTAACCAGCGACAGGACGAGAGGCAATGGCCTCAAGTTGCGTCAGGGGAGGTTTAGACTGGATATTAGGAACAATTTCCGTACTGGAAGAGTGGTCAGGCGTTGGACCAGGCTGCCTAAGGAGGTGGTGGAGTCCCCATCCCTGGAGGTGTTCAAAACACGTGTAGATGTGGCACTTCAGGATATGGTTTAGCAGGCATGGGGGTGTTGGGTTGACAGTTGGACTTGATGATCTTAGAGGTCTTTTCCAACCTTAAAGACTCTATGATTCTGTGATCATCATGAATTTCCAAGCAGGACAAATAGCAACTTTTTTTGTCCCTGCAACAAGGGCTTAAAATCTGCAGAAATGGCTGCTGGAGAAGCACCAGCACCGCAGACTGGCTGGGAGCGGCTCACCCAACCTCTCGCTATTTATTATCGCAATATTATATTGTATTTAATTGCACCATCTTCAAAAAGCAACTTGCAGAGCCTCCCACTAGGGGCTTTTAAATACTTACGTGGCGTGTTGCTATTTATTGGTGTTTTCGTTAGCTCACTGCTTCACTATTTATTTATAATATGGGACTGTACTCGGAGTATGGCAGGAGCTAATAAAACCGTATTTACCTCCTTATATTAATAATAACTATTAAATCCAAGAGACAGCCTGCTGATTGAGCTCGCTTCGGCGATGTGTTTTCCAGGCAGCTGCACAGCCTCTTCCCCCGCTTCCCCGCCTGGGTTTTGAAATACGGTGTTGGCTGCCTGGCGCGGGGCGGGAGGGTGAGCCCGGTTCGGCTGGCACCGCTGGCCACGGGCGCTGTAAAACAGGGGAGATGGGCAGCATGGGCGGCTTTGGAGCCCTCCAGGGGTGGGGTTGGGCTGTGGGGCTGTGACCACGTCCTGCTTTTCCAGGTCTCGGAGCTGCCCGTGAGCTGCTTTACTTGGGAGGAGACGTCTCTGGTGTTCCAGGCTTCCTATCCATTTTTTTTTTTTGCTAAACAAGAACATGTGTGGGACTTGAATTTTTTCTGGGCAGTGTCTCGCTGCTAAAGATTGCTGCTTTCTTGGAAAGAGCTGCTCCACCCCTCTCCGCCGGGTAGCGGAGCAGGATATTTTTCCCCAAAATAATAGCGCCCAGCAGACTGGTGCCAGGTCTTCCAGAGGAGCGGAGCGGAGACGTCCGAGAGCGAGCTGGGGGTGCAGCGGGAATTAGGCTGAACGACCATTTCAGGGCTTCGGCTGGCTCGCGCGCAGCCTGCGTGCCCGCTCCGCGTCTCGTCCCTGGGCGCAGCCAGGACTCACCCCAAAAGCTGCCTCTTGCCAAGCGGCATCCCCTGAGCCAAACCCTGCAGGAGCCTGCTCCGGACTGCATTAAAATCAAAATGGAATTATTTCCCAGCAGTGGGAGAAGGATCTGACCAGAGAAAGGGAGTTTTTGATCAATGCTGTAACTGAGAGCAAGGCTGGGGGTGTACTCAAATCCTCGCCCTCCTGGGTCTCCAGGCTGAAGATTTTTGCTACGGGGATAGAAGTTCACCTGTGGCTTCGTGGTCTCTGCTTCTGTGTCCGACCACAACCTGCCCTGCTCCCCTTGAATCCCTCCCTTTCCCCTCTGCGTCCGCTCCCTCAGCCCATCCCGGTGTGGAGGGGGACGTCCCCGCTTCGCTCCTTCATCCCAGCATGGCCCAGGGCGTAAGGATGCTGTGGCAAGCTCTTCGGGAGAGCCACGCTCGAAGGCAGCGTCGGAAACTGGAGACAAGGCCACGTTAAAAAATATAGTTGAGAGTAAATAGGGCTGAAATGTCACGGCTGTGGGATTGCTGGGGAAGGAGCTGGTCTGGGCGTTGGAATCTCACAGGCTCGGTCACGCTCATGGGGTTTGCATCTTCCTAGTGGAAACTGGGAAACGCTGAAGCTGGATGGGTGCTGGTTTTTGGGTCCCAGTGTTTGATGGGGCGCCTTCATCCCTGGGGATTCAGGTCTGGACGCATCCACGGATAATCAGGCACAGTTCCTGGAGCAGGAGCAAGGCCGTCGGCTTCGCTGTGGAATTTCTTGGTGGGGGTAGCAGTAGGGGTCTGGTTCGTAGCTGCTGTCCTGGTGTCCCTGCGGAGACAAACTCTCTTCTCTCCACTTGACTCCCCAGGACATCCTGGAAGGCGGCAACTTGCGTGTCCCGCTGCAGGAACTACACCAAATGATCCTCACCCCCATCAAAGCCTACTCTTCCCAAAACTCCAGCACGGAGGAGCACAGCCGGGACGCGGACTCGCATCACCCCTCCGCCCTGATCGGCTCGGACACCCAAGGCTCCGACTGCAAGGACTCTGCGGCGGGGGGGATGCAGCAGCACCATTTGCCGGGGTGCGAGGGCGAGTCGGGGGGGGCCCCTTTGCCCGAAGGTGACCTGCCCGGGCAGTTCACCAGAGGTTCGGGGCAGGGTGCCCGCGGTGTCCCTTCCCCGTGCCCCTGCGAGCCACGGTCCGAGGGGTGATGGTTTTTTGAGGTCCCGTCGTGGTGTGGTAAGAGGTCAGAGCGTGGGCGGGGAGGCAGGCAGCGATTTAGGGGGTGGGCAGTGATGGGACGGGCCGTGTGCGGACACCATCCTCTCCCTCCCATTCCAAGCCCTGGGAGCATCCCACCATTCCGGAGGTGTTTTCGGCACCATCCCTTGGACTCGCTCAGCTTGCGGGGGGTTGGCACCGGTGCGTGGGCTGAGCTTGAGCTGACCTGAGTGCAAACCAGCTGCTCCAAGCCCCTTTTTAAGCCCCGAATTAGACGCAGGACATCCAAAATACTCAGGTGCTGGTGCCAAACGCATGGATTTGCGTTGGGATGGACACACTGGGAGGTGCACGGGAGCGATGTGAGGTGGGGACCGACCTCCTGTGCCATGTACAGGGCTCTTCCAGCAAATTTGTGCGAGCTTGGATGTGTCCTGACCCGCCTGGGTGGGATGTGAGGTGTCGGTGCTGGCTGCGTGGAGGGGGCTCTCATTTGCAGGCTCGCACAGGAGACCAGGAGCAGAAGGAAGCTCGTTGGGATGCCACGAAGAAACATCAGCCCCGTCCCTGTTTCAGACCTTTTTTTGCAAAAAAATGGCCCCGTTTGAAACCCGCTGATGAGTTCAGCCGGTGACGAACGCCTCCGTCACGCGCGAAGCCGTACGTGTGGCCCGAGCCTTGCCGGGACGAGGTGTCCTCCCGGCCCACCAGGCATCCCTGCGCTGACGAGGGGACAGCCTCATTGCTCTGCGAACTCGTTTGCGCTTGCTTTTACGGCGTTAATTCCAAACGAGGGTAAAATCCGTCGGGATCAGTGGGAACCCATTTGCGGCAGGGGCAAACTGTGGCCGCAGGAGCAGGAGCTCTCCCAGCGCCGGCTCTTGGCTAGGAACGGGGAATAATCCCGTGCCCCTGATTTGCTCAGGTCTGATTTTGGTGACTCCAGCGGTGTTACTCTGGATTTACGCCGTCATAACGGAGAACAAAATCTGGCCCCAAACACAGGGCGGCACAGCGGGAGTTGGGGGAGGCCATTTTTGCGTGCTCATGATGAGACTCACCGGTGAGACAAGGGAAAAGGGGCATCCGGGGCGTTCGTCGAACACCCCTGGACCCCAGCTCAGTGTCCCCATGCCCATTTCTCTTCTCTTCTCTTTTTTTTTTCCAGTATGCACACAACTTTTAGTTTCCCGACCCGACGAAGAGAATATCAGTTCCTATTTACAGCTCATAGACAAATGTCTGATCCACGAGGTGAGTCGTGACAGATCATCTAAAACTGTTGCTCTCATCACTTAGAGACTGTTTCCAAAGTGTCTGTTTGTGTAAACCTTTTGGTTTCCAACACAAATATTTTTGGGGGGTATTAACAATAATTCTGACAGAGCAGGGCTGGAGCAGGCGGTCGCTCCAACGTGGTGCGTGGAAATGTTGCTCCCACCCCACGCTCGCTTAATTGCCAAGACCTGGCGCTGGGGAATTCGTCCGGCTTGTGACCGTCCGGTCAGCAGCTGGATGGAAGAAAAAATCCCGGGATGAACGTGCAGGCGGTTTCCATCAGACTCGGCGATCCCGCGGCGTCGCCGCCTCCTCCGCAGCAGCACGTGGCCTCGGGCTTTTTGGGATGAGGGCGTCTGTTTCTGCTCCCGGCAGATCTGCCGTCGCCGGGCGATGGCTGGGGATGGCCGAGTCCCCTGCCCCTGTGGCAGGGGTCGGGGGGAGACTGCAAACCCCTCGTAGGAGCTGCAGGCTTTAAACCTTTCTCAGTTGTTTGTTTTTAAAAAGCCTCCTGGTACCTCAAGGGGCCTACAGGAAGCATGGAGAGGGACTTTTCACAAGGGTGTTGAGTGATAGGACAAGGGGGAATGGCTGTAAACTAAAAGAGGGCAGATTTAATTAGATATTAGGAAGAAATTCTTCATCATGAGGGTGGTGAAACACTGGCACAGATTGCCCAGAGAAGCTGTGGATGCCCCCTCCGTGGAAGTGTTCAAGGCCAGGCTGAATGGAGCTCTGAGCAACCTGGGCTGGTGGAAGATGTCCCTGCTGATGGCAGGGGGGGTGGAACCAGATGATTTTCAAGGTCCCTTCCAACCCAAACCATTCTATGATTCTGTAAAAAAAATAAGCTGTCAAAGCACAGAAGAACCTCCTCTGGAGAGGGCTGGTGGCTGCAAGCCCCAAAATGCGCTGCACATGGAGGAGGAGAGGGACAGCTCACAGCCCTGTGCCTTGCAGCTGGAGCCGGTGCTCGGGCAAGGGTTTGATCCACACATCTCTGCAGGGCCAAGCCCAGGGATCTTGAATCGGGGCGAAACAGTTGGATACAGGGCAAAATGTGAGCACTTCAGCACATTTTTTGAACTGTGCTCCTGGACACCTCTGTCGATCACGGTGGGGGTTTCAGTGCATTTTGCTGGCAGTGCCTGCGGTGTCAGCCACCATTTGGCCCCGTGAAGTGTGGAGTGGTGGCACCCGCTGTTTGGGTTTGCTGCAAGACAGGTTTGGAGCCGTGGGTATGGTCTTCTTGGGTTTTGAGGCCAGTCTTGTTTAACATCTTTATCATCTGGATGAGGGGACTGAGTGCTCTCAGTCAGTTTGCAGATGACACCAAGCTGGGTGGGAGTGTCGATCTGCTCGAGGGTAGGAAGGCTCTGCAGAGGGATCTGGGCAGGCTGGATCGATGGGCTGAGGCCAACTGTGTGAGTTCAACAAGGCCAAGTGCCAGGTCCTGCACTTGGGTCACAAAAACCCCAGGCAACGCTGCAGGCTTGGG